TCTCCCGAGATACCGTCTTGTATTCCCAAACGTAAATATGCAGCGGGATCTCCCGGAATACCGTTCCGTAGTCCCAAAGTAAATATGCAAGAAAGGGGGATCTCCCGGAATACCGTTCCGTAGTCCCAAAGTAAATATGCAGTACAGGAGGATCTCCCAGAATACCGTTCCATAGTCCCAAAGTAAATATGCAGTACAGGGGGATCTCCCGGAATACCATTCCGTAGTCCCAAAGTAAATATGCAGCACGAACGATAGAAATACAACTACGTCACGAAATTCTTACAATTTAGACTAAGTACTAGCCAGAGAAGAAGTAGGAAATTCATTAAGCATGTTGCACATAATTCACATAAACAATTAAGACACGTAGACATGTTGTAATAGACTAAACAGGATAGCTACACATATTGGAATAACCTAATTAAGAATAAAATAGATTTGTACTCATTAAAATGGTATAACTCAAAATAACAGGAAAAACATGTTGTTGCTCAGTAAGAAAATCGAGTTTTTACCACAACTAGCCCGTGTACGTACTCGTCACCTCACATACATGGCGCTCACATATCACAATAGTTTCAAATCTTAAGGGGATTTCCCCCACACAAAGTTAGGCAAGCCACTTACCTCAAACCAAGCTCAATCAATCGGTCACAATGCCTTTCCCACGAATATTCGGCTCCGAATGGCCCAAATCTAGCCAAAAGCAATTACATATCATAAATACAATCATAATAGACTCATCTAATTAATGAAATCAACATTTTAACAAAAAATCTAAAATTAACTCAAACATCGCCCGTGGGGCCCACGTATCGGAATCGAGTAAAAGTCGCAAAATACGAACACATATTCACTCCCGAGTTTACTCGTCCCAAAATATTTCAAATCCGATTCCAAAATCTCGATCAAAATCCCAAAATTCGGCCTAAGAACTTTTCTCAATTTTTCACCCCAAATCCAAAATTAAACGATGAATTCAAGCATAGATTAGTGGAATATAACCATAAAGGAGTTAAGAATCATTACCCAATCGATATCTCTGAAAATCCCTCAATCCCTAGTCCAAAATCCGAGCTCCTAACTCAAGTTTTTGATAAAAATAGCATAACCCCTGTTTTTGAAAATTTTAATACTGTCCAGATGCGTCCTTCTTCGCGAACGAGGCCACACCCTCGCGTTCGCGAAGTACAATTTACTTCAGCCTAAAAATCCTCCATCGCGAACGCGATGCACATGTCGTGAACGCAAAGAACACTCAGCTTGACCCTTCGCGAACACGGGATCTCCATCGCGAACGCGAAGCACGAAATCTTGCCTGCCTCCAGTTCTTCTTTGCGAACGCGAGGACGATGTCGCGAATGCGTAGCTTCGAGGTTCCACACCTTCACGAACGTGAGAGCGACATCGCGGACGCGAAGAGTAATTCAGATTCCCTTCCCAGATACCTTACACGAACGCGAGGACTCCCTCACGAATGCGATGAAGAAAATGCCTGCAATAGAACACCACAAATCTGCTATCTTCCAAAGTCCAAAAGTGATCCGTTAAGCATCCGAAACTCACCTGAGGCCCCCGAGACCTCTACCAAATATACCAACAAGTTCTCAAACAACATACAAACTTAGTCGAGCTCTCAAATCACATCAAAAAAAGGTAAAATCATGAATCACCTTCCAATTCACACTTAAAGAACTTGAAACTTCAAAATTCTAGAACCGATGCCGAAACCTATCAAACCACATCTGATTGACCCCAAATTTTGCATGCAAGTCATATTCAATATTACGGACCTATTCCAACTTCCAAAATTGGATTCCGACCCCGATATAAAAAATTTCACTACCGGCCCAAAACTCCAAAAATTCGACTTTCGCCATTTCAAGCCTAAATGAGCTACGGACCTCCAAAACATAATCTGGACACGCCCCTAAACCCAAAATTACCTAACGGAGCTAACGGAACCAACGGAATTCCATTCCGGAGTCGTCTTCACATAGTTCTGACTACAGTCCAAATCCTAAGGCTTAACCTCTCATTTAAGGACTAAGTATCCCAAAACACCCCGAAACTCAAAACTAATCATCCCGGCAAGTCACAATAGCAGAAATGGATATGGAAAAAGCAGTTAATAGGGGATCAGGGCTATTACTCTCAAAACAGCCGGTCGTATCGTTACAGTGCCCTTGTTGATATTGATTTATGGCTGCAGTTGCCTTTCATTATTGTTGTGATTTTCTTAAAGTTGAAAAGAGTTCTATTTTGTTTCTACGAGGTATTTATTTGCCATTATTTGATGTAATTAAATGTGACATACTACTTGATTCATTTCCATTGTCATTTTATCTTATATTATTATTTAAACATTTTACTAATCCATTATTTATTCTCTAGTAGGGCCTAACCTGACCTCATTACTACTCTACCGAGGTTAGGCTTGGCACTTACTGGGTACCGCTGTAGTGTACTCATACTACGCTTCTGCACATCTTTTTATGCAGATCCAGGTACATCTTATCAGACCACGCATCAGTAAACTAGCTGTACGAGGAGACTTCGAGGTATATCTGCCAGCATCCGCAGACTCCGGAGTCCCCTTCTATCTTACTATGTTGTCTTTCTTATTTGCTTTAGACTCTGATGTATAGAGACATAGAGAATAAATTCTTAGAAGTTTGTGACTTATTTTTACCGAATTTTGGGAGTTTAAATTGTTTGAATTGTAGTTTATTTATTTCAGATATTTATTATTATTCCGCATTGATAGGCTTACCTAGTCTTAGAGACTAGGTGCCATCATGATATCCTACGGAGGGAATTTGGGGTTGTGACATAGTGGGGTAGAGAAAAACTAAAAGGAAATTGTGATCATCGTTCATCGATGGTTGTGGTAAAATAAAAAAGATTTTTACGATCTCAATTAGAGGTTTCAGGTTCGATCTCTGGAATCGAAAAAATTCTAATAGGGAGCACTTCCCTATTTAGTGGATCTAATACTGCGTAAATCTAAATTAGTCGGACGCAAATACGTATAATTGATACAAAGTGGGAAATCAAAAGACAAAAAAACCGTGAACTTTTCGTTAATTTTTTTTTTCTTTTTTTGGGAGGAGAGGGGGTGAGTTTGGGGAGGAACTTCAATAGTACTCATGACAGCGAGGAATATATCATACTAGTAGTACTATTTTTGGCAGGACTTTCTTGGTAACCTGATGGCGAATTGTGGCCTAACATCCTCCTGTTTGGGACAACATCTACCGATGATATTTGCAACCTATGATATTTGTGATAACAAATTTTAATTTATAAGGGAAAGGGCCAAATATACCTCTCTACTTTCAGATATTGTCTATATTTAACCTTCGTTATATTATCCGGCCAAATTTACTCCTACCGTTACACTATCGGGCCAAATTTATCCATACAATCAGCAAACTTTTAAAAATTACTGCTCAATCTGTCAGGTGACCCAGAATCTCCCAAATCATTTTAATTAAGTTACTGATTCTTCTTCTTGTTCCACTATTTTCGAAATAATTGGCATTTACCTGCTTTCTGAATTGAAAAAAAAATAAGAGAAAAAAATATTAAATAATACAACAGTTAATAAACGAAGTATAGTTATTTGAAAAATCTAAATTAGGTAGCTTGTCTAAATTCTAAAAGTATTTACAACATCCCAATTTTAATGAATTCGTTGCACCAAATGTATGGAGACTTTGCAAGTATTAGTGATTGAAGTTGAAGTTCCTCGGAGACTTTACATTGTTGAATTTAACTTTGCTTTAATCAAATGCCTAAACATTGTGCACTCTTAAGTTAGTTGATCGAACTCTATACTAACCAGATAATGACAAAATATATTTGAATATACATGTACATACAAAATGATCAGCTGCATATAATTCACAATAAATAGACCCACTGAATTCTACAGTGTGTATATGGTTGGAAAAAAAATTAAACCAATTCCAAACCCATTATTACAAGAAGAGAAGTGGGTGCATTGGTAATTAAAAATATTCATGAATAATTTGTATAGTCTAGTAACGTTAGCATTCACATCAATAGTAATTTCTGGAAATAGTGGAGCAAGATGAACAACAAGTGATTTAAATAAAAGGAATTTGGGAGATTTTGGATTACTTAACACATCAAAGGGTATTTTCTAAATGTTTGCTGATGATAGGGGTAAATTTGGCCAGATAGTATAACGATAGGGGTAAATTTGACCGGATAGTATAACGAATATTAAATGTAGATAATATTCGAAAGTAAAGGGGTATATTTGGCCCTTTTCCCATTTGATAATGCTAAATCTACGTACTAGCAGTCTAGCACTATCTTGGTTGGCATATTTTTCAGAGTCCGGAACCAAAATGTGGTTCTTTTGGACTCAAAGAACCAAAATGTGGGGGAAAAAGAACTGGGAACCAATATATATATATAACGCCCTTTCAAAGGGCGCTATACCTTAACAGTCGTTTGCCCGTTAAGGTATAGCGCCCTATTAAAAGGCGCTATAGTTGAACCTGAAAAGAGCGGGAAGGTATAGCGCCTTTTATTAAGACGCTATAGTATAGCGTCTTAATAAAAGGCGCTATACCCACATAAAAATACATCCCCTTCCCTTCCCCTCCAA